TTTTTGGGTAGTTCACACTGTTTTAAAGAAACATTTGATAATAAAAAAAGTTTAATACTCAAAGGTCACCCTATATTTTGAAGAAAAAAATGAGTGAAAACGACAGCATGTAGGATTATCTAAACAATTAATTAAAAAAAAAAACTCAAAAATTGTACTTATCAACGTTTGTCTGAAATTCAAACAGATAATGAAACTTGAATCCATTTTGCTTTAAACCTCCAAAACAAATACATGTACTGTATAGGGGATTAATTTCACGGGTTGTAATTTTCACGTTAATTTTTCTCTTCTCTGACATTGTCGCGGTTTCTTGAATTCGCGGAATTGGTATTTAATAAAAGTTTCTTCCTCATCCGTACCTATTTAAAACTTATTCACTGTTTCTTGAATTCACGGATTCATCAACACCGTGAATATAGCGAGTATGGAACGCCATCACTGCCTTATAGCATACAACTATGTATTTATTATGTCAATTTATCATTATCTGATGTGAACATATCTTTACGTTATGTCATTTTTTATTATATGATGTGAAAATATCATAACATCATGTCAATGCTGCATTACATGAAGTAAATACATTCTTTTATTATGTCAGCACTTCATAACTTGAAGTAAAAAATCCATTTTATTAAGTGATTATGTGTTTACATTTTGTTAAAACATTATTAATTGAAATGAATGTTTCTTTACATCATTTCATTTCTTTAATATGCGAGGTCAAAATTGCATTACGTCAAGCAAATTGTGTTTTATAATTAAACTTATCATTACATGAAGTCAAAAATCCATTCCTTTTTGAGAGTGAATATTTCTATTATATCAAAGCATTATTACGTGCTATGGATTTATCTTTATTATACCTCGGGAGCATCATGATGTTAGGTGAACACATCTTACCTTCGTGTCAGTGCTTTACTACGTGGTGTAAAAAGTGTATAACATAATGTGAACATATCTTTATATCATATCAACACTTTATTACATTTTGTCAAAACTCCATTCCGTGATGTGGATATATAATTACGTTATGTCAACCTTTTCTAATGTGATTTAAAAACATCTTTATATTGTGTTAACTCTTCATCATGTTGATTCCAAAAGTTCATTACCTGATGTAAAAATACATTTTCATTATCTCAAAGCTGTATATCTGGTATAAAATGAATGTTGACGACCGTGTTTTAATGACTGGTAAGAGAAGGGGGGGGGGGGGGGGTCCACATTGATTAGGACGAATTTCAAGCGCACATAATATCAGCCCCCCCCCTCTTTTCCCATATATAACTTTACTATAGAAAATGTAATGTTCATGGAAAGCACAGCCCCATCCCCACTTTTTCTTGAAGTATAGTTCCTTACAGGTAATGTAGTATACTTGAAAAGAAAATTAGGACTGTTTTTTGTTTCGAGTAGATTTTTTTTCTGACTGACCTCCCAGTAGCGGATTTAAGGGGGGGGGCGCACCCGGCGCCCCCCCCCCCCCTAAAATTGTCAAAGTTAACGTAAATCACAGTTTCGTCTAGAAAATGTACATATGTCTACTAGGTAGAACTCATTTTTCACCCTACAAAATCTCTAGAACCCAGGAGCTTCCGGGGGCTTCGCCCCCTGGGTCCCCACCAGGGCTTTTCCTGGACTCACTGGGGGCCTCAAGGCGGCCCCCAGACCCCTTTCCTATTTTTGGCGCCCCCTCTAACTTCAATTCCTGGATCCGAGCCTGCCTCCCCTTTCAAAGAAGATGCTACGTCACTGGAATTAGTAATTTTTTCAACAATTCCAGTGCCTGAATTCTATTAAAAAATATATATATATCAGTCTAAATCAGTTGAATATGCCTTAGCAAGCATGCATGGGCACATATCAGTGGCGGATATGGGAATCTTGAACAAGGAAGGGGACGGTATATGGTTGGAGACCGGGGGGGGGGGGGGGGGGAAGCTCTTAGGCTTTATAGTTTTATAGAAAAAAAGTTTTCAGCTTAATTCAGCTAATCTTCAGCAATGACCTACAAAGTAAAACCAATAAATTTATTAATCTTATGTATATTTGGTCACTAAAGATGGAAGGACGGGATTCCTGCCCCCAACCCCAACCCACCGTTGCACGTTTGTTATAATTCACAGTCGCAGTGTGAAGGCCTTTCGCTGCACGTTTCAAGATTGTCAATCATTTGTCGCTTTACGTTTTCATTTAAATATGCCATTCCCAAATCGCCGAGAATTTCTTCTACGACTGTTTTCTTTCCCGCCATTTTTAGTGCCTGCGGAACGCTGAAAATACGTTATGCGCATATAAAGGCACCTTTGCCACGGAAAAATCTAAGCGAGGATACCCGTGTTCGCATAACGTAATAGTGAATCGACATAATGTAGAAGAGTGCGCACAGTATAATATGAGCTTTCCACATCTGATCAATATGAAATAGCCTAAGATACACGTATGCTGACAAGAGGCTGAGCATTTTTGAAACAATGTAAAGACGCAATGACATAACGTAATGACGATTTGTTAAAAAGTAAGGGCAAATTCACATCATGAAAATGATTCACGTCGTCATGTAGCATATTGATGACATAATGTAGTAAAAGAATTGACCACATGTGACAATTTTTTGACATCATGTAATGAAATTCTGACATCGTATTATAGCGACTTGGTATCAAATTAAGATAAATTCACATCAGGTAATGAACTACTTAGACCAAATAGTAGAGAGTGCACATAATGTAATACTGAGTTGAAATTATATAAATGTATCTTAACACCACGTAAAAATCTTTTGACATAATGTCACAAAGAGCTGATATAATGCAATGAAAGATTGACGCAATATAATTGAAGTGTTAGTGAATGTCATAAAAAAGTTAACATAATGTAAAAGAAAGTTGTCGCAATGTAATAGTAGTGTGTGTAAATGTCATAAAGAGTTTACCTTATGTAAAGGAAAGTTGAGATAATGCAGTAGTAGTGTTAATAAATGTCACAAAGAGATGACATAATGTAATGGAAGGTTTAGACAATGCAATAGTAGTGCGGGTTAATGTCATAAAGAGTTGACATAATGTAATGGAAGGTTGACACAATGCAATAGTAGTGTGGGTTAATGTCATAAAGAGTTAACATAATGTAATGGAAGGTTGACACAATGCAATAGTAGTGTGGGTTAATGTCATAAAGAGTTGATATAATGTTATGGAAGGTTGACACAATGCAATACTAGTGTGGGTTAATGTCATAAAGAGTTGACCTAATGTAAAGGAAAGTTGACACAATGCAATACCAGTGTGAGTAAATGTCATAAAGAGTTGACATAATGTAATGCAAGGTTGACGCAATGCAATCGCAGTGTTCTGCTATAAGGCAGTGACGGCGTTCCATAGCGAGTATTAATACCGCGAGTTATTTTTCCCCTATACAGTTTACAATAAGATACACTTGACAAAACTGCAAAGACCTAAAAATGGGCAAAGAATTGCAAGAGCACAAAAACAGATTTATAATTATGCTATTTTCTTAAATATTAGCGGTCTTATTGTTCAAATTCATATTCGGGGAGGAAGTTCAATTTCTGGAAGAGTCTAGAAAACATTTTTTTACAAAAAAATTGAAAGGTTTATGAGAGGAAGGAAACAGAAAGAGGAATCCACTACATAAAATTTCTTCATGACAGCGTCCAAACCCACAAGTCATGAACACTGCATGAAAAGTCGGGTTTAATTTTACCTTAAATGTGATTTAAATGCTGCGATTATTTAATGTTTAAATGCATATTATAACATATTGTGGGATCGTAAATGTTAGAAAATAATTAGCATTTAATACGAGTTTAATGAAAAATTAAAAGAACAAATTTAATAAAGTTTGGAAAATCGTAAACTTACTAATACGTTCGGATTTTAGTCTGCCGTAAACAATTATTATACCTCTAATATACAAAACGTATAATTATTATTAAACATGGCCATAAAATTAAGTTTTACGGTCACATTAAATTTGTTCGTTTAATAAAATTTAACGTAGATCTTTACCTCATTATTTTTTGTTAAATTCACACTTTACTTTATAATACTTCCAAAAATAAAGTTATATACGGAGAATTGTAAACTTACTAATACGTGCAAATTTTATTCATTCATAAACTAATATTAAATCTCTTGTATATGTGATGAAAATGTACGGATTAAACCTTCCCATATAATTAAGATTTAAGGTTGTATTTGATGAAATTTAACATTATAAAAAAAAAGCATAATATTTCTATTTTACATTTATTCCATCAAAAATTTGTATGGTTTACAAGTGTGGGTTTTTTGGCAAGTATTTTACAATCTTACACAAATCCATTTCTCATTCAATTTTATTAGATGTTATCTCAATAGTGTACAAACAATGAGTTCTAACAAAGTACAAAATATTTCAAATTTAAGCCTAAAAGTCAGAATTAAAAAAATTACAATCATGATTGTAGCTCAATTATAATGGAGTAAATTTCTACATACTAGTAGTAAGTAATATACTGAAGTAATTATAAATAATATAAGAATAGTATTGTATGTAAAATTCAAATCCGCAATAAATCAAAACACAACAGGTAAAAAATGTAGTCATTCTGGACTCCAAAAGACTGCAAAATCTGACTGAAACTGCCCCTATTAAAACTTCTGCATGGGTTGTAAATGGCTTTTCAATTTCCCACAATAAATTATATCATACTTTGCATAAAAAGAATAAAAGTTGCCAATAAAAGTTGTCCATTCTTTTTACATGTACATTTTAATAAGACACACTAAGCCACTAACAGAGAAGCCTCACTCGCCCACAAGCAAGCAACAGCAAAAGGATCGGTCAGAGACACCACCTTTCTCTTGCTTGGGTATCAAGAAATCTGCAACTTACTGCCAGCAAAGCTCTTTTAGACATGTAGCACCCTTATATTGTTTCCCAAGTATTTCAACAATAGATGTCCATGCACTAATTATCCAAGTTCAACTTTAAAAATACTTAATGTTGACTGTGAAAAATACAAGACCCAAAAAAATCCTTTATATCATTTGGTTATGTCAATTCAAATTAAGGAAAAAGTATCACAATTACAAAAAACAATAGCAGCTTAAATTTGTTTACAATACATGTAGCTCATTTCTGTTCCAACTGCTAGGTTTATTGCTTGATGATTGTAATATAACATATCCTCATTAAAGCAACGTTACATTGGAATGCAAAACATTTCAATAGTGATATTTTTAACTTTGCTTTAAAATATCAAAAATGAGCTCTGAAACATGCACATATAAAAGTCCTGTATAAACATATGTAAAAGTATATTTAACAATTTTTTAAGCCTTAATTACAATTCCATAACTCATAATTCATAAACTCTCTTACTTCAAATGGAAGGAAACAAATTAATATTTTACTCTTGCAATTCTCATTTATTTACTCTTGCAATATCAATTGTAATATTTATTAAAATCACAATTTACCCCTTTTTTACTCAGAAATGTCTCTACCTCATTTGCCTATTCTATTTTTTACATCTATGACTCACTAAGCCACTGACAGAGAAGCCTCACTCGCCCACAAGCAACAGCAAAAGGATCGGTCAGAGACGCCACCTTTCTCTTACTTGGGTATCAAGATCTGCAACTTACTGCCAGCAAAGCTCTTTCAGACTACCCTTGATCATGATTGTCTTATTTTTTCCACAATAATGTCCATGCACTTATTATTTAAGTTAGACTTGTACATATATGTGATATATAAATCAAGATTAAAATGTATGTGATTGCAGACCAATAAATGTTTAAACAATAAAATACATAACAGTTTTAATCTGTAATCAAGCATAAGAAAAAACTTTCACTGTCAAAAATACAACACTAGGTAAATTTTTCTTATCTAACATTGAATTTGTGCAAAACAGTAACAACTCAAATATTTCATCTCTAATAGCCCATCTCTGTTCAATTAATACATCCAAAGGTTTGACTCTCATAGGTTAGATTCTTTATTTGTCCTAGTTCTTCTTATGCTCTGCATTTTAGAGTGCTTTGATTTGAGAATGGCACTTTTGGTGTCCTGTTCTTTGAAGTCATTCTCACATTCATCAGAACGCAACTTCAGCTTTCTAATTTCATAGGTAGTATTATCTTTAGAATCATTTTTTGTACTATGAAGATGTAATCAATATTTAAAACTGCTTTTTCTTGCTTCTTCTTCTCTTCATGCCAAGAAGTTTTCAGCTCTGGAGAAGCACACCTAGCTCCTAATTTCTACAATAAACATAAAAATAAATACCCATTTGCCTATATATACATATTATATGTGTGCTTCCGGATTTATGCAATTGCATATATTAAATAGTAAAAACAAAATCTGAGTTGATTTTAAAATTATCATTTGACCTAGAGGAAGCACAGCTCAATTTTGCTTGATTAAAAATTTACAGAAGACTACAAAAGATATGCCATTTTTTCAAATCTGGGTAATAAAGACAGATAATTTTCTATAATTTCAGGCCAGCGAGCTACAGATTTCGAAGCGTGTAAATTTGGGTCTAATGATTTTTTTCACCATCTTTTTTTGGAGCATTTTACCTGCTTGACCTTGAACATGTTGAGGTGCCCTTTTCTCTGCCCCTCCACACTAATTCTTTCATTTAGCAGCAAGATACTATGGATATGGTAAAAAGCTGTCATAAACAAAATATGAAAAATTAATAACAGGTGTGGCTCTCCATAGAGAGAATATTCAAAAAAGGAGAAAAAATATACAAACAGGGTATACTTATGACTAACATGACTACAGCAAGAAGATAACATTTTACACAATGAAAAAAATTCTCTGTGTCATCTAGTTAAGTGAATTGCATAAAAAAACATATAATTATATACATGTATAGATCAAATTTATAGACGACAAAATATGATACGAAACATACATAATGGTACCGTAGTCCGAGCACATGGAATTTGAAGATTTACAAAGTTTAGGAAAATGCAAAGAATAGCATTTACAGCATTTATCATATTAAGACACACATATATATAGTTTCACAGCAGCAAGCTGCAGAATTTGTGGAAGTACATGTAAATTGGGGACTGGTGACTTTTTGCCATTTTTTTTTTAGCAATTTACCAATGTATTTACCTGCTTGACCTTGAATATGTTGAGGTGCGCAGCCCTTTTCTTCGTGTTCCTCCACGATATTTTATTTAATGTAGCAGAAAGATACTATGGATAAAAAAAATATGAAAAATTAAAAGCAGGTATGGCATCATGGCATCTCATAGAAAAAATATACAAACAGATGTATTTATGATATAGAGCAAGTAGATAACATTCATACAATAATAAAATCCTCAAACTTTGTGATCTAGTACATATTATGATATGTATTATATTAAATTTAGAGACGACAAAACATGATATCAAATGGGTGTACATACTCGGAACACATGGAATTTAAGAGTAAACTTAAATGCAAAGGTTAGCAACTACAGCATTTAACATGCAAGTTATTGGGATAATGAACAAGTGATTTAACATAAAGTAAAATATATTAACAACTTACACTGTAGATAGCAAGTTTTTAAAGTGGACAACAAATGCAAACTTCCAGTAAATGGTGGCAATCTCATACACAATAAGTTGTACAACAAATGATTATTTCGTACCTCACACTGGGTAGCCAAATATCTGGTCAAGACACTTTCAGGAAGAGAGCCTCAGCAAGTTCAATGTTGATCATTCCCATAGCTACTTCAAACTTTTCTGACACAATTTCTGAAAGAAAAGATGTATCTTGCAGGGATTTTTATTCAAACTAGGAATAATTCTCATGAATGTAAAAATTTGAAAAGTTTATAGATGACCGACGAATACCAGACACAGAACAGAAAACTCGCTCGGGTCTTAAAATGGCTCAGGTGAGCTAAAATAAATCAATTCATGTGATTTTATTGATCTTATCAGAAAATTTAAGAAATCTTACCGTTGTGTTAATCTTCATACTGCTTTTGTCATTTCTTGTGAGCATTTGGATTCCTGTAAATAATGCATGCATAACTGTGCATCATAGAATGTGATAGCTATTTTTAATAATTCATGCTTACGTATTTAACGTAAAAAAATTATGCATAGCTCAGAATCCATTGTTATTGTATTTTAAGGATAAGGAAAATAAGAATATAAACCTCGTATTGTCTACTTGGTATATAGCATTTCAAGTTGTTGCAATATTTTTTATACTCTTATGCATAAAGATACAAGTTAATAAAACATTGTTTGTTTATTTGTGATAATAGAAAATTTGAGCGGTATGGTTCTCACCATTTTCACAAGCTGTCTACATAGCCGGCGTAATGGGGAATCGTCTCAGGCACAGTCCACACTGCAACTATTTAAATAATCAAAATAAGTGCTCAATATATTCTTGAGTAGGCATTAAGAAATAAATAAATAATTTATTACATTGTACAACACTCTCTGTAAATGCTGAACAGAGGAACACTTTAGTGACAAAAATTCTGAAACCAATCCCAAACGAGAAAATTCTGGTTAAAATCCATCTTTAAGTTAGATGGTTAAAAGTGTTAAATAATTATTACAAAATGTAAATAGCGCTTGCCCAAACGTTTTTACTGCCAGGCATTTTATGTGTACAGCCCAGACTAAGGAACAGTAACATTATCAGTAGCAGAGGCAATTATTCATTCAAGGACACATGATAAAATTTTGTACATTGTTCATACCGCTAAACAGGGTCGTAAATGTCTTCATCTTCTGTTAAAACATAAATTCCATCCAAAGTTTATCATGCTTCTCCTTTTCGAGTAACTCTCTTTCGCCCCTTCCTCCCGTACAACATCATGATCAAGTTCAACATGGCTGCGTGGAACTCTCCAAAAAATTGAATTTCGGCGCGGTGTGTTGTTTTTAAATAAATTGCTTTTCGAGCCCGACTTCGAGCCCGATGTAATTGTACTACAGTGGTAGTCGATAGAGAAAAAACTAAGTTATATTCCACAGTTTTGAAAAATCTACATAAGGGTTAAATAAATAAGAATGAGAAATAAATAAATTAAAATGAAAAGGGTGCCTAAATATTTTTTTTTCAAAAATGTTTCAACATAAGTTTACATTAGGTATAAAGAATTATTTATGACATATTCAAAATACCAAAAATGTACTTAAACTCTAAGTATAAGCATATTTACTTTTACATGTCGATATTCTTAAACGGGACGTATAATTATCTCAATTAAACTATATTATTCTCGACGTATTTTGCATTAAATATGATTATACTTAATTGAAAACTGTATTTAATTATATGACAAAATATCTCATGTAAAATTTACCGTTATACATAAATTAAATTCAATACAAGAAATTTACTGGAGTAAACGAATTTATTAAATTATATTAAACGCGACTTTTCATGCAGTGGAAGAGTAAAGGAGTTCTGGGGATAAATAGAAAGTTAATGTTTTGTCACGTCAACAAAACTTGCAAGATCTTTCACCCTTTGACTTGTATCATTTCCCAAACTTAGATAAACATCTATCAGAAAGAAAAAAAGAACTACAGCAAAGCGTAGGATCTGTCATATTCCAGTATACGAAAAGTCATACTAAAAAATGTGTTCTAAAAACAATTAAAAATTGAATGAAAATGTTACGGACATGTATTTTAACTGAAAGAGAATTTTTAGTTAAATCATTCAGACTAAATCATAGAAAACGTTTTGGTTTTTTTTTTTTTTTTTTTTTTTGTTTCTTTCCGAGCCCCAATGACTTTATTTATTGAACGCCCCTCGTATGCTCTTGCTTTATATTTTGAAAACCTTGTGTAAATGAAATCCTTGATTTTAATTAACTTACAGAAAAATCATCTAATCTCTACACTGCATACTAAAGAGTTGTTATTCTGTTGGAGAGGGGGGTGGGGGGAGTCTGCAGTGGAGTGATCTGCCCTTGCATCTAAATTGAAAGCTACATTACATATGTACACCTACAGTGGCTGGAACGTTATTGTTGACAAACCAATCGTGTAGAATCGTTCGTGTATCGTGCGTGATCGTTCGTGTAGCGTGCGAGATCGTGCGTGTAACAGACTCAATCGTTTGCGGTTTTAATCGTGCGTGAACGTGCGTTTAGAAACGTGTAAATTTCGTTTTGTAAGTTTTTATCGGAATGTTATCTGTGAAACAAGTATTTCGTTTATATTTTATTTTTTAATCCAAATAAAAGGAATGAAGCGCAGTTTACATAATTGAATGCGGAACGAACTAACTATCGCTTGTAAACAAGCAATATAGTAAGTCGTACAATATTATGTTCTCGTCAAATAGCGTGACTTATTGTGATATACCGTACTAAGATGTTTTACTATATTTTTCTGAAAATCATTCTTGTTTGCTGCTTATTCTGGTAAGATATTTTTTTTTAATTTTCAAATAATCAAAAAGAAATATTTTTACAAATGAATAAATATTTTTCAAAGCTTACATAAATGTTTAGTCGGCGAATGTACATGCACGTCACGCACATGATTTTCCGGGGTTTGATTAACAGTGTTTATATCTGTAGCTTACTTTTAATTTTTAAAGTAAAACAATAATTTGCAATGTCGTTTTTCATGTTTTAAAGATTCATAAACATTTTGAAGTCATAAAAACATATAGATATAACTTTTAAGTTAAGTCATTACATGCTGCCATTTTTTTCCCAATCGTATCCCCCATTCTACATATTATGAAATCCAATTCAATCAAATTTTAGGGTCCACCTACTACTATCTTCTGATAGAACAAAAAAAATCCGTTTTCTTATGTCGGAGAATTATCTAAAAAAATTATTTATTATCTTAAATAATAAAAAAAAAATCTTACATGTATGTAGTACCAGAAATACCCATTACCGTTTTTTTTTTCAAAGTCGATGATATAATATATTTATTGCTAATTCTTTGAATCTAAAATCAATATAAAGCCGTATTTCGTTTTGTGAATATCGATTCCTAAATAATTTGAACTATTTTGCGTGAAGAATCGTGCGTTTGCGTTAGCAATCGTGTAAGATCGTGTAACGTGTAGAATCGTGAACGTGAAAGATCGTTCGTGTATCAGGTTTAATCGTGCGTTAATCGTGCGGAATCGTGCGTGTAACGTGATCGTTCGTGTAAGTTGTCAACAATAACGTTCCAGCCACTGTATTATCATATAGGCTAATATCAATAATATCTTCAATGAAATCATGCATTGTAAACATTTTAAAAGATGGATATAGTTAAAAATACTCGTTTTGTCGGAGTGTATATATTCCACTGAAGTAAACAGTAGTAATGTGTTCATTATTTTTTTTCTCTTAAAATTAAAGGAGGGGATTGTGGCACCTTTGTGCCACTATCATATATTGAGAATGAAATAAGAAAATTCAATTTTTAGGCCTTTGTGGAAAGAAATATCCAAGAGTTTGTACTGGTTTCTTATCTATTGTGTGCATCTGAAACGGGAATACAAATGTTCATGCATCTAGAGACAATGACTTGTTGAACTGCGCGTTGTTTATTATTGGACTTAAGTCCATTTATGTAGTAAACATCCGCGGGATCGGGAAACAATTTAGAATAAAATCATTAAAATTTTGTTTAGTGTTGCTTGTCCATAAACTGATATAAACGATGTATGTTACGTAAACAATTAAAAGAATTAGCTAAAATTTGTAGATACAATTTCTGTAGTATTAGAAGGAGATTAAATAGACAAACTTTATTTAAAATTAATTTCATAGAAGTTAGCACACCCATTCACACAATAGAACAATCCAACGAAAAGTCACAAGCTTATAAATTACTAAGTGACATTTGGCGCGAAAACAGCGATTCACCCCTTTCGTAGAATATAAATGGATTGATCCATTAGTAAAGAAATGCAGGAAAAAGTATGCACGGACATGTTGAAAAGGTGAATCATATGGAATTGTTGTTCCATGCAAAAAGATTAAAGGAAGTAAGCACTAAAGTATTTTGCATCAGTAATATCATTCTTTCTTTCTGAAAACTGTTTCTTTTAAAATGCCGGTAAAGAATTCCAATGTTAATCAGCTTGCACAAAATCTAGCTCTCTAGGTATGATCTATTAGTTTCGGATCTTGCAAATATCAATCCTTATATATAGCCTGACGTCCTGACGTCAGGCAATTACATTTTTTTTAAACGTGTAACATCTTAAAAAATACAATAGAGGTACTGTGAGCATTGAGCTCACTAAATGATTCTTTCCTCCTCCCAATTAGGGTTATATAAAGGCAAAGTTTATATTTTGCTCAAGGAGACCGAAAGACCCGAAATAAGTGTCAGATCAAAAAATACAAGCTAATTCAGAGAACTTGTGTTCCCCGCTTAGGGAAAAAGTAAACCATGCGCAGGGGAGGGGGGGGGGAATCGGATCCCCCTGACTGAATTTGTAGAATTATAAAACGTATGTATACATGTAGGCCTGCGCAAATAAAATATGCCAATATGGATATAAAGATTTGATTGCTAATTCTTTATTACGTGTGTAGAAGATTCTTTTTATATGGAATATTTATCACAGTACTATAATGATGATTTTATGAGTTTGTACAAGCCAGACCTCATTAATTTTTCATTTCACATGCTGAATACTTTCATTTAGTAAAAAAAGTAATACGGAAAAAAAGAAAGTACATCATCCGGGACCGCTCACATGTGAAGCTAGAGACATAGCACTAGATCACGGGACTCAAGCATGAAGACACATGTACATGTATTTATTCACGTTCGATATTGTCAAAATTTTACACAATGAATGGTGTCTAATTTAGCCTTTATTAAACAGTCCTTATAGGTGAAATAAGAATATAAAGTCCGCCGAGAACCTGTTTTGCACGGAATAACTACAATAAATACTAATAAAACAAACGGGGCGGGACACTTTGAGAGGGATGAGAGAGGTCCAATGGAGTTTTGGTATAAAATTACATTGCAAACCTCAAAATCTTCTTGAAATATCGCCCGGAAACGATAGTGTTACACACAGACAGAATGTATAAATTTACGACCTTGAACTTTGACCTTTTGACCTCAAAATCAATAGGGGTCTTCCTTAGGCAACAAGGAGTTGTTATGTAAATATTGCAAAAACTCAAAGGTTGCTCGAGATATCGCGCGGAAACGAAAGTGTTATAACAGACAGAATATACAAATTTATGACCTTGACTGATCTTTTGACCTCAAAATCAATAGAGTTCTTTGTTAGTCCATAGGAAGTTGCTATGCAAAATTTTATTGCGAAAGCTTAAAGGGTTCTCGAGATATCGTGTGGTCCAAACGAAAGCGTTACAGAAAGACAGAAAGACGGACGGACTGACAGCTATACGGACGGACAGATCCAAAATAATACCCCCCACTTTTCAAGCGGGGGACAACAAACGGGGCGGGACACTTTGAGAGGGGTGACAGAGGTCCTAGGGAGTTTTGGTATAAAATTACATTGCAAAAATTCAAAATCTTATTGAAATACCGCCCGGAAAGGATAGTGTTCATACAGACAGAATGTATAAATTAACAACCTTGAACTTTGACCTTTTGACCTCGAAATCAAGAGGGTCTTTCTTAGGCCACAGGGAGGAGTTCTTATGTAAAATTCCATTGCAAAAGCTGAAAGGGTTCTCGAGATATCGCACGGAAACAAAAGTGTTATAACACAGAATTTGCGAATTTATGACCTTGACCTTTGACCATTTGACCTTAAAATCAATAGGAGTCTTCTTTAGTCCATGGGGAGTTACTATGCAAACTTTCATTGCGAAAGCTTAAAGGGTTCTCGAGATATCGTGAGGAAACGAAAGCGTTACACACAGACTGAAAGACGGACGGACGGACGGATGGACGGACATACCCAAATCAATTTCTCCCACTTTTCAAGCGCAGGACAAAGATATGAGGCACACTATGCAATTATGTAACAACGAATCTGTGAAAGTATCA